ATGTATGACACGAATCTGCAGAATCTGAAGGACAAAGTGCAGAAATTCGTTAGCGATCTTGAAAAAAGCAAGAATGGTGACTGGTGAATGGTTTTTTTCAATAAAGATGTTCATATTTTTTGAAAACCCAAAATGCACCGTATTTTTGGAGATTTTCTCCGGTTTTGAGCTTGAACCCTTGTAAGCTTCATTTGGAAACTTGTAAGATTGGATTAATAGAAGCTTTCGTAAGGCTGTCAATTGAAATTCACGTAATGATTTTTACGGGCTTTGAGTTCGGCGCGTTTAATGAGGAAATTACCATTGACCAAAGCGCGTCTCTTATTGTTCTTTAATATAAGGATTTTACACATTTTGTTCTTGTCATCATTGTTTTGTATTAATAGCATCACCTTCTCTGGTCCCGCCGCGAAAAAAAACATTTGCACGCCCAAAAATAGCGGTAATAAACCCCAAGCAACGCGGCACTCCTATTTACGCAAAAATGTATGTTACGAAAAATTCTAAGCAGTAAAACTTTAAAATTAAGGCAAATTGGAACGGAAGAAAATGGAAGAATTGAGAAAAATGGAATGGATATTCTAATGCTACCAAGCACTAACAAAACTGAATTCAGAAAGTATCGAAACCAAGGCGGTTTTTGTTGGCATTTTGTGGAAAGTGGTATTTCGGAGGGCTAAGTTGCTGTATTTGGTATTAGTCCAACCGTAAAATTCCACTTTGCAATAATTGATATTGGGTTTTCAATATAAATTCCATTTGAAAAATTTATGAAAGCTTAAAGGGGCTCGGAAGTAAAAATACGTGTGCGGGTATTGAAACTACTGCTCAAAAAAACGGAATGGTTACTGCCGAGAGGTCTGACAGCGCGATTTTATTGCGGAAAAGCGAAAAATATTTGAGTAAAACGGGAAATGTTCTCGGGGCGAAAGCGCCTTTTTGAGGGCGCCACGATTACACGTCGTAATGCCTTTACGGCACCCCATCTCTTGATCTCGGTGGTTCTCTGGCCAATTTTCGTAATTAAAAAGTCTAGAAAGGATCAAAATTCGATGCGGATTACAGAAATGGCTTCAGAATCAGAAAATTAGAGCGTTTTTACGTCCAAAAAGCCGCGGACGCATCTGGCTATTTGCCAGGAATCAACGCAGGAGGCCTTGGACCAGATTTCGGAGCCCCTTTAAACCTTCTGGCTCGCGCTACTCCCGGCTCCTAAGTTAGATTGGCCCTGTTTGGTGAAAGCACACTAAATCCTCGGGGCCGCTTTTCAACGTCTGTATTCCGCGGAAAAGCAGATGGTAATTGGAATTGATAACAGTTTATTGGTGCCGCAAGGTTTTGAGGTCATCATACTTTAGTGCGCCATTATTTTAATAACGACGCACATCTGCGCGTATTTCCTAACCCTCTTATTTTGGATTTCACACACCATTCCATAAAATCTCTTCCCACTTTTTTTAATGAACAATTTCCCGTTTCCCGTTGGAATAGGTTTCCGTTTGGTTTTACGTTTAGTTTAGTTCTCCCAACTAATCTGATTATTTTCCCCCGCTTTTATCAGCTTAGCCCTTGCTAAAAAAGAGTTATAGTTATGCGCTAATTAATTTTCGTTTAAAAGGTTGATATTTTATTTATTTAAGTGGTTTCGGCCGTCTAAATACAACTACTGATTTTGCTTGATAGAAAAATATCTGTAGTAGTGGCGTAAAAAAGGGTTCACGTGGAAAAAGCAATGGAATGATTTTTTCTCGTTGGGTTTTTCGTATTCGTTTTCTGAACATGCTTGGTAGATGGTATATTCTTGCTTTTCAGCCATGCCCCGACTTACCTGCTTCGACTGTCCGAAGTGCTACCGGCCATTTGCTGCCGAGCCCGATCTTCCGCAGAGTCCGGTGACGTTTCGGTGGTTTTTCACTGATGAGGACCGGTTGACTTGTCAAAACTGTTCGCCAAGGGAATTAGGTCTGCGGCCTGCGACTTTCCTCATCAACATGCTGACATCTTTACCGGTTACGGTTAGTCATTTTACAGACCGAACTATGACCCAAGCCATGGTTGGAAAAGCGTCACCCGGTTTTTTTAAAGCGTCACCGGCTTCCCTTTCGTAAATCAAAGATTGCATGTACATGGTACACCTAGGTTCCCGCTATTTTCTTTTTGCTCTTTTTGCAATGGCTTCAGCTTGAACTCTAGATGCGGTTTGATACTTCACATTTTTAAAATAGACCTGTTTTCGACTTTTTGAGCTTTTTTGGGGCTATTTTCCGCGCAGTAAAAGCTTTATAGCGAAAACTGGCCGATCAGGCGCTTCACACAAAATACATGGTTCGATGCAGAATTTCTTTGCGGATCTTCTATGCTAGTCGCATCGAGCGCCCAATTGGCCGGTTCTAGGAAATCCAGGAAAACTGTTTTATGTACGCGATACACCTATGTTCCCGCCATTTTCGAGCTTCGCAATGCATTCATTTGTAAAATGATCAGCGTCCCAAATTAGGCCTCGACCCAAATCTTCAGATAATTTGTCCAAGTAACTTCTGAAATAATTTTTTGGCGTGGGAAACTTTAGCGGCCCGTTTAACCCCAAAAATTAAATTTTTGAACTCTGAAATTTATGCCACCCTACTAATTCATACCTGCTCTTTCAGATGGCATCAAAAAAACAGGGTCGAAAAAACTGTGCCAAGCCATAATAGGGGTTGGTCGGGTCCCCCGCGAACGGTTTTTTAAGCAGCCTGAATCGTTAAAAATAAATGCACTTGTTCAACACCAGAAAAAATTCATTTCCAGCGTACCGACGACGGCGGATGGCAGCCGAATGGGCGGTTGCCAGCCTGGAAATGCCCCGGCTGCGCGATACAGTTCTCGAGGGATGGGCCGCGCAAGCCGTGGCTCTACATGTGCTGCCAGAGCCTAACCTGCGGAAGCTGTTTGGAGCTGGGCGGCGTTCGGCATGAATGTGCAGTGCATATGCCTATTGATCACACCAATCTCGTAGAAGTAATCATGGGTTATCAATCTTTAGCCGTGGATTACAATGTCAAGATGCCGGAGTTCCTCGGGTACAACGATGCCACACCGTACAGCCGCGGAAGATCACCGACCAGAGGTGGTCACCCATTTTTCGCACTGAACTCGCGAGCCCTGGGAATGAGGCCGAATGCCCAGAACCGTCGTCATCAGCCGCAACGGGTGGCAAGCGCTGAAGCTGTGCCCCGAAAGAACGCCGCTGGCGCCTCGAAAATCAAGAATCTCTTGACCCATCAGCTCTCCACTGATTCGGACCTCTACGATTCATCGGACTACGACGACGACTATGACGGACAACGCGACGGCTTCATTCTGCCAGGAAAAACGGCGCAACCTGTGCCCCTTTGGCACCCGGAACCGCCGAAAGTCGAGAATGGTCCCTACGTTCTTCCGGATCGCTCTGGGGTCGTAGTCGAAGCCGCTGACCTGAATGAAACCTGCGGAAACTGCCAGCGCAGCTTCGGCATCACCGACCTCTTCTCGTGTACGGAATGCGACGGAATGACGCTGTGTGGGGCGTGTTGCTTCCGTGGACACAGGACCCATGAATGCGTCGATTTGAAGGAGCGGAAGCTGGAGGAATTGGAGAGGACGACGACGGAATTCCTGTCGCAACACTACGCCGGATTACGCGGAAATATCCAAGGAGTACATGCCGAAATTGAAGACGCCCACAAAGATCTGGTGAAGGCTTGTGAAGAGAGCCTAAAACTCGTCCCCGGCCAGACGGATTACGGTATCGGAGCCAGGATCTGCGCGGAATTGAAGGCGACTGCTGACGATTTTGAGAAGTGCTTTGAGGCGTATCTACCTCATGCTCGGATGTATGGGACAAATCTGCAAAATCTGAAGGACAAAGTGCAGAACATTGTTGGCGACCTTCAAAAAGACATGAATGGAGACTGGTGAATGTTTTGTGAATAAAGATTTTAATTGAATGAGTGTTGAAATCTAAAAATGCACCGTATTTTTTGAAATTTGCTTTACTAGTTATGACCTTGAAATCATACAAACTCGTCAAATTTTTGGTGTTACGTAAATAAGCGTAACAAGCGGACCAGGTTGCGATGGTAAATTTTCCATTTTTTAATTTCAAGAATTTAAATTTAAGTTAAATTCTTAATTTAATTATTTATCTCAAATTCTTTGCGTTTTTCCCAATATAAGGCCTCTTTCATGATTTTCCCAAAAGCCCAATATCAAATCGATGGCATCCAGATTTTCCTCTCGTCAGCATAGTTGACCCTCTTGGCAGACGTCTGCCAGGGGCGTTGATTTACAACGCGTCATCGTAAATGTACAACACACAAAAATTAGTGCCTTGCGGCCAGCTGCTGCCCAGAACAACTTCTTATTCTCCATCTTTCCTCCTCTAATTTTTTGTCTATGACACTTCACTGGTGAATTTGCGTCGCGCAAAAGTTTATATTTTCTAGTTTTCCAATATTCGACATTTTGCGATTTTTGTAAGAAATTGCTCTAACGCCATTCGATATTGCGTCAAAAATATACAAAAATTATTTTCACGTTTAAATTGCATTGAAATTTTGCATGCTATTTTATCTTTTTGCGGCCATTTTCTATTGCGGGCTGGACGGAAATTCTACAAAATTTTGATTTCCCAAAAACTGCGTTTCGGCGAGCGAACTATCGCGGAAATGATTTTCTCAGTGACTTTCGGAATTATGGTTTTGGGAAATGTCTGAATGGGTGACAGCTCTTGAATAATCTTTGTATTTCGCCACATTTTCTGAAAATGGACCCTTCATAAAATTTGCAAATATACGTTGAAGCTTTTCCAGGTAATGCCTACACTGACCTGCTTCGACTGTTCACGTTGTCGGGTAACATTTTCCTCCGAGCCGGGCCTTCCGACAAGTCCGGTTTTCACCTCAGGGGAGCTATCCTGCTCGACATGCGCTCCGAATGACCAGAATGAAGAGTCAAGGTCGGCCACCTTCATTATCGAAATGCTGCTGGGTCAACCGGTTACGGTATGTTTTAAAGATCAGGGCAAATTACGAGTACTGCACCATTCGCAAAGCAGTCTGCAAAAACTTTTATTTTGAATTTGGATCGAAAACCGCCAAAAAGGCGAAACGATACGTTAGCTATAGGATTTAATAAGCCAATTTGCGCGATTTTAATTTATTTAGTTAGGCTAAGGTCCAGGAAACCTTCTTCCATCAACAACTTTTCAGCCAAACTTCCTATTAATGCATGGAACATTTCAAAATGTTCGCCGTGGGCGAATTACGATAAACCAGCTGGTCCCTCACGTCAAAAATTCCTAGAAAATTCTTTATAAGACTGATAAGTCTGGGTTTTCTTTAATTATTCCTTCCTGGTCAAAAGTGGGTTTTTGTATTTCGGCACTTCATAAACCTACAAAGCTCTCAGTGGTAGCAAATTGTAGAGTATTCTCTGTAAAGGGTGTCTCATAAACCCCCCCCCGGAAAAAAAAAAGAGAAAGGAAAAAGAGAAAAAAAAACAGAATTCGTCTAAAATGTTTTTTTTTTAAAAAAAAAAAGGGGAGGAGAGAGGGAAAAAAAAAAAAAAAAAAAGTCAAAAATAGCAAAAAAATATTTGAGTGCAAAACTTCTGACAAATTAAAGCCAGGCGACCTATTCTTTCTTACTTCAAAATTTAAAAAAATTCTAGCAACTTTTGAAGTCAGTAAACAACTTTTTTATTTTAATTAAATTACGGCAAACATTTTAAAAGAACCCTTACCCCTTAATACCCAGATGATAAATCACGTAATTTCAAGCTTTTTTTAGCACACCGAAAACGGATGGCAACCAGACGGACCGTTGACACCCTGGGCGTGCAAGATTTGCGAATCGGCTTATATGGAAGAGGGCGAGCAAAAAGCGATGCTCTACGGTTGCTGCCAGCAGCTGACGTGCACCGATTGCTACTACTCTCAAAGATTCCGTCACGAGGATGATTGTCAGGGAGTACCGATCATCCAAAGGGAAGGAGACTACCAGCGAGTGATCCAAGCGTATCAAGAAGCCGTTCGTTCCCAGGCCATGGAAGAAGAGGATTACGAGTGTGCTGATGAGGGGCTTGACGGCCCTTTGCTGGCAGCGCCGGACGAAGCCGGAAACCTTCCGGAAGGTGACGAAGGAGCGAGTAACGCTAAAAAGCGCAGACTAACGATGGCAGAAGTCGTCAAGCAATGTCAAAACGCTGTTTGGCCAACATTTTGGCCAGCCGAGCCAATACAAATCGAAGCAGAACCAGAGCCAAAAGCTGTAGATGTACCATATGCTCTAGAAGACCGACCGGAAGTTCAATTAAATCCCGATGACCTCAAAGCAACCTGCGAGAACTGTAAGCGCACTTTCGACATCCACGACGTCTTTCTTTGCCTAAATTGCGATGAGTTGACGCTGTGTGGCATCTGTTGCTTCAAAGATCATAAAGCACACGAATGCGTTGAGCTGAAGGAGCGGAAACTGGCCAACGCAGAGAAGACGACCAATGAATTCCTCTCCCAACACTATGCCGGGCTACACGGAAACATTCGAGGAGTACACGCTGAAATTGATGACGGTCAAAAGGCACTGGTGAAGGCTTGTGAAGAGAGCCTAAAACTTGTCCCCGGCCAGACGGATTACGGTATCGGCGCCAAGATCTGCGCGGAGCTGAAGGCGACCGCTGACGATTTTGAGAAGTGCTTCGAGGCGTATCTACCTCATGCCAGGATGTATGGGACCAATCTGCAGAATCTCAAGGATAAAGTCGAAAAATTTGTTGCTAAATGCGTGGCCTCTGAATAAATGTTGTTGGTCGATTTCCAAATAAACTTAAATGAATGCCATAATGATTGAATTTACATGGCTTGTTGGGTAAGATTTTTTTCAAAGTTGAGCTTGACCAGATTTGCCCGTTCAAAACACCTTTAACTAGGTTGCATAACTCATCGTTACGGGGGTATTTCGGTCCGATTGCCGAAGGGAGATCGCTCGCCGGGGGTGCCGCTCCAATCTATTTCCATCGCGTAAGCAAACCCGATCGGCTGGTTATTTTGCTTGACCAATTTCCGGGCAAGTACGCGTTTTCCTCTCCTTCTTCTCAGTTCCTGTTTTCGGGGACGATCTTTACTTCTAAAAGGTATTACTTCTAAAAATCATTACTTCTAAAATCGTTGCTTCTAAAAGTTTCGTATCTTGCGCAAATTTGAATACTGGCTGCAAGAATTGCTAACATGCTTTTACCTGAATATTTTACCGACATTCACGCTTCAAACCAATTTAAATCTTCAGCTTTATCGATGAAAAGAAAAGAAAGGAAATGCGAAAACTTTCTTGCTTTTTCCATTACATTACTGCTTTCCAACCCGACCTTTCAATATGACGGCGTTAGATTTACGCTGATTTTTAGAAAGCCGTCGCGATGCGCATCAAAGCTTTTGATTGCATCGCTTGTGGTGGAGCATTCGATGTTGATCCAAACGGTGCGAAGGCGCCAGTGTATACCGAAGGTTCGCTGAAATGCCGGATGTGCCTGCCCGGCCCAACATATCTTTGGGCTGGAAGGTAAGTCTCTGCGTATTTTCGAGCTCAATTTTCGCGCGGAAATCTGAGCTTTTTTGCTGTGTCCTATATACCATTCGAAAGAGCATTTTTGCTCTACAAGGCTCCAATAGCCGCTGGTTTTATAGGCGTTACTTTTGCATGGATTACGGGGAACGAAGTATCGACGAAAATGAGGCTCGGGAGCTCGCCGACCGCACCATGCAAAATTTTTCCGTACTATAATTATCAAATTCAATTTGATCTATTATGTACTCACCCAGTAGGACTACAGCTTGATGCCAAGGATTAAAAGGGTGATGGATTCGTCTACGCTAAACCCGGGCTCAAATTATGGCACCAGACAGTAGTTCTCCTTGGATGATGTTTTTCCATGAAAATTTGAAGACAGTTCTGCTTGATTTTGAACGTTGTAGTTTCTTCTCAATAGACAGAAAAGTTGGGCACGAGCTTGGAATGTGCTAAATAATTGTTTTTAACGCATAAATTGGCAAGTGAAGGAAGGGCTCATTTTGATGAATTTTTCGATCTGCTAAAAATTACTGAAACGCTATCTAAAAAATAAACTAATTACATCAAAAGGTAGAGGAATAAAAACTCTTTCGAAGCCATTAGGTCAACTGTAAAAATAATTAGCGATCGTGCTCAAAATCGAGCTCACAGTAAAGCGACGATTTTCATTCTAACCGATTGATTGCGAGAAAACTGAATGAAAGCGAGAATGTAAAAGAATGCGAGAATGTAAAAAATAAACTAATGCCAGTGTCTAATAGAAAAAAGAAAGTTCTTTCAAATGATATATAACACTAAATCCAAAGTCCACGATTTAGCTTTGAAAAAAGCACAGCGGTTTACGATCCAACCCAATACGACGCGACGATGATCATCGATATGTTGCAAAAGCCTAATCTTCGTGTAAGTTGTTTTCAAATGAAGATGAACGTGCTTTTGAGCTGAGTGAAGCCTCACCGGAAGATTTTAAAGGTTAAATATAAAAAGAATTCTCGTGTCTCTGTGCCCATTAGTAGATAATTTGCGCCACTAGGTTCTGGTGGGGTATCTGGATATAAAAAGACTTGCAAAGTATGGTGCGTTCAGTTTGTTAGGTGCGTAATAGACTCGAGATAACTGCAACCGTATTCGATTTATGAAAGCCTTCAATTTGCAACATCAAGTAATACTTTTTCGAAAATTTTGGTACCTACCTTGCTAGAAAATAGAAAACCCACCATAAAAGTGATATAGAGAGAAAGAGAGAGAGAGAGAGAGAGAAAGAGGGAGAGAGAGAGCGAGAGGGAGCGAGAGAGACATCCTGTATATTTCAGAAAACGTCAGACGGTTGGCGAGCAATCGGTCCACTCGGGCCATGGACCTGCCGTCAGTGCGATGAGCCCTACAATGAACAACTGTATAAGCCTTCCTATGCCGGTATCTTCCTTCACATGATGTGTGGAAAGTGCGGCGCCATCCCGGATTATAAATGTTGCCCGATAATGGATGGCTGTCACGCGGCTCAAGGCGATCTTTATACATTGATCATCAGGTATCAAAGGTTCGTGTGCCACCACAATCGCGTGAACGGATATGCGGGGGACGATTGGAAGGAACACTTTTCAAGACTCGAGCACGGGCTATTCCGCTGCGGCTACTGCAGTATCGATTTTCCGGCCAGCGAAGCAGTGCCAATGTCGTGCCGGATGATCGGCTGCCCGGCATGTCGTGACATTGGAAGACTACCGAAAAAGTGCACGATCTGCCCGTCCGACGTCCAGGGCCATCGGAAATGGTTCCAGAAGCGAATTCGGGAAGCGCTGCAGACTAGCAACTTACAAACCATTAAGACCGAGTTTCCGGTTTATGAATTGGAGGAGCGGCAACCTGGGGAATTTAAGGAAGGCGTACCGAAGAGGAATTGCAAGAATTGCACGCGCAGCTGTGAAATTTCGGATATGTTTTCATGCACGAAATGTGCAGGTATAACGATATGTGCTGGCTGCTGCTTCCGCAGTCACAAGGATCACGACTGCGTCGACTTAAAGGAGCAAGAACTGACCAAGATGGAGGAGTTCACCCGCGTCATCCTCACAACCAATTATGAAGGCTTAATGAAAAATAAAGATGGGATTCACGCCGAAATCGTTGAGAACCACAAGGCCCTGCTCACATCTAACGGGGAAAAGCTGGAGCTGGTGCCCAGTCAGGCCGAATATCGTAACGGGCCGAAGATGTGCGCTGAACTGCGAGCGGCTGCGGAGGATTTTGAGAAGTGCTTTGAGGGCTATTTGCCCCATGCTCGTATGTACAACACACATCTGCAGAAGATTACCGAAATGATCAAGAAGCTTTGAAGGGTGTTTTTGTCGAATAAATATTGTTGCTTGTTTTTGAAATTAATCCGAATACACCTAGGATGATCGCACGAGTGAATGCGAATAAAATTTGCTTATGGGGCGTCCGTTTTCAATTTTGAATCTTTAATTTGATTTAAAAATTTTAACAATATTCTGTCAGCCTCACCAGTAGTGAACCAGAACAGATTGCATCTTTTTCTATATTAGAAAAAAATCCAAGGCATCGTAGATTTAGCTTTCGTAGAACTGAAGCCAACTTCACAGCCAGCAGCCAATCTCATTGATCCAGCCCTGCTTCCTGCATCCATTACCTATCAAGAAAAGTATGAAAAGCTTTGTGGTCGATATTTTTGCTGAGTGACGGCTCGTTATGTCTTTCAGGCGCTTTGTGCGCAAATTTTGAAGAAGGTCCCAACTTTATTGAAAAAGTTATTCGACATTTATACACAAAAAATTGCCAAAATCTGGATTTTCTTGCCTTATTTTTAACTTGTCGTTATCTTCAACGGTAAATCTGGCTTGGTAACGGTTTTAGAGATAAAACCACGATTTTATGCAAAAAACAAAAGTAACTGGCCAGGGCTCGAACCGCCGCCCTGTGCTTGCCAAGCGAACACCTTGCGAATTCACCCCAATGCCAACTAGGCTGGGGGCTCCGGGAGGGTCGATAAAGGGCACGGCAATATGATCCAGGCAGGGAATAGCGGGCCAGCATCCAAATTTATGCCGTTTTTAAGCTTAATTTCGACCTCAAATGACTTTTCAACGCAAAGCGCGCACCAAATTTGGAAAACGGATTCGGAATCAGCAAAAAATTCTGCACAAGATAGGCTTGGTCCCATTCCAAAAAGCTAGCCTGCGTAAAAACACTTTACAGTAAGACGTAAGAATCAACTTTGGAGCCGAGAGCGCTGTAAACCCTTAAATTCTTCTTACCCATTACGTGAGAGATGCAGCAAAACCAGCCGACAGCGCATACCTGCCCGGCGCAAAGTTTCACACGGGTCTGAAAATTTACCTTTTCTTTCTATTCCTACCGTAGCGACACCAATGTAAATTAAATTATAGTTTTCTAAATTTTTGTAAGTCAACCCAACGCACCTCAACTGCCGAAACGGCTGCAAAGAATAGGAGCAGAATGCAGAGATTGAGGCGCATCTTGAAAGAGCAAACGCGAGAGTTCCGCGCCCTTTATGCAATGCTTCTCGGCTCACCCACGCCTAATCTCGTATTCACGAAAAGTTTCTGGCGGCAGAAATAAAAGGAGCGAGTTTGCATTTCTGAAAGTGAAGACAGGACGAAGTCGGAGAAGTTTGCGCGCGTTCGAAAGCGCTGTAATGTGGGTCCAAAACATATGAAAATTAGCCGAGCTGCTCTTCAGATTCTGCCCAGTCAGTCCGACGTGAACTTTTGCCGAGTTAGATAAATTGTTGACGAATAAATTTGGTTGTTTATTCTTTGAAAACATTTTTAAACGCATCCAATGTAAAAATTAGCATTACAAGGATCAATTTTTAGACCGCCGATGTTATTGAAACCTGAAGCCTCGGTTTTTTGTTTTGTTAAAATTCCTAACCTTATAATTAAATTTCAAATGATCAATTTAGAAAATTCGCGACAGCCGTGAGCCGCTTGTCTCTACGCATTTATTTATATTTTATTAATCTTTATTGAGTACAGTTTGATGGCTACATCACAAAATTCCGGTCTACGTCTTACATCCAGTCATCTTCGCAGCGATCTCGCTATACTGCCCCGACGGGGGGGCAAAGGCAATTTCGATGGCATTTTCTCGCATCGGCGATGGAAGGAGCAAGATCGTTCGAATCGATCGTCCTGGCCCCCTCCGGCTTGCCATTCCCTCTGCCATTTCCAGGTCCGGTTGATCTTGATAACAGAAGCCGACGGACCGCACAGCTCTGGTCTAGAATCGACCCTAAATATTTTCTGTTTCCAACCATTGCTGCTAAGTTTTCCGTCATTAGCTGTCTCTTAAAGGTACACTAAAGTCTCGTTGGTTTGGTTACCGGCCGGTAACCGTCCGCGGAATAGCAAAGAGGGTTACGGTAGGTGCTCGCCGCGGAGCAAAACCGAACCCTCGCCACTCGCCTAGGGCGAGCGCTTTAGACCACTAGGCCATGGGACAGACGGGAGAGGGGAGAGGGAAAGGGATAAGAAGGGTCCGGGCCTTGCGCGGCAGAGGGCCCGGATTTTCGACCACGAACTGACTTTTTGCATGAGATTTTAGTGTACCTTTAAGCTTTCCTCGACATGGATTAGATTTTCGAGTTTCAAATGGATTTTTTACAACCTCTTTCTTCTATTCAGAATGCCTTGTCCTAACCAGTGAGTTTATAGAAAACGATTTGCGATGCGCATCGAGATTTTCGATTGCGGAAAATGCTCCAGGCCCTTCAGCCTGAAAGCAGACTCGCCAAGACAAGCGATGTTGTGCAAGAACAACCTGATGTGCCGGGCTTGTTGCGCTGTATCAACGGCAACGCGCGTCGTCACGCTTGATGCTCTGATGCGAAAACCAAACCTGAAGGTTCGTATTTCGGGTATTCTCGTATCCGTTAATCGTCAAAGAAATTATTTGGCTGAGAGAAAGAGAGAGAGAGAGAGCGAGAGAGAGAGAGAGAGAGAGGGAGAG